CGAACAACAAAACGAACCTGATTGATAGAATCAACAAAGGTAAAATACCAGACACAATTCATAAACACTACAACTACCGATCAACCAAACAAAATAAAATATGAGGAACCTGTCCACGTATCACCACGGTACGCAAGAGTAATGAAAATGTAATGTAAAACGAATTCAAACAAAAGTTATTTATCCAACATGTTAACATCCGTCACCACCTTCACCAAATCGCTGACAGGGTATTACCAACTACAACCCACCGTCGTGCTGTCCCCACAGTTCACATCCCTTTTACTTCTTCGTTCGCTTCGCCGCCCTCGTATATGGAGTCCTGGCCGCAGGAGCTAGACGTCGCACCCGTGCCGAGCACCGACTCGTCGTATGAACTCCGTGTCCTGGTTCGGCTACACTGGCGGGAACAGGGACTTCAGCGAGATCGCCTACGAGAATTCAAAAGGAGGGGGGAGTTAGTGACCATAAATGCCCTTCACGTAGCATACGTAACATACAATAAGTGATGCAGAGAATGAACTTACCATCACCATCCGTAACATCGCAACCCTGTAAGTCGGCATCGTTGCTCGGGCCAGCATGTGAGGGCTCCATGGCTCCTCCATCTGACATTACAACACATTTGTAACTGCATATGTGTTGGACGTTTGTAGTTGGAAGATAATGGAAGCGTACAGGAAGAAAGAAAATGAGAAAAATAATTCCCATGTTACCGTTCAAATCCGGGACGGCAAATATCGGCTCCATCTGTCCTCCACCTAATTGGAGATCACAATCACACCACAGGAATATGTTATTGCATTTTCATGAAGTCAGAACGGAAGTAGATGACATTGAATATAGTAGGGAAAAATCGTAGCACATGACAACGTACCTATCTGTTCGTCGGTTGCTACGGGCAGTGGGTCGTGTACGTTGTCCGGTCGAGCCGCGATGTCTCCTCCATCTGTTGATGAAAACATGAAAACTGTGTGAATACATTAGGTTTCCCAACTTCCACAACATACAAAGTCCGTCAAATAACAAGTTTCAATGTGCTCATAAATAACCCACGTACCTTGTACATGTGCAGTTCCTGTATCTGCTCGCATGTCTCGCTCGTCTGGGGAATGCTCCATTTCTCCTCCACGTATTTCTAACTCGCAATTGTCGTATGGAAAAAAATGTTAGCTACAGGTGCATGTGCTACTGTCAAACATGGGTGAAAATTATAAACCAAACGGTTTATGTATTGAACATTCATACCTTGCGGAATGCTACCTGAAACACCACCCTCGGTATCGGCGGGCATCGCGGCTGGAACGGGGGTCGGAGCAGGTGGGGCCACGAGGGTTGCAAAGAAAGCTCAGAGTTTTTTACATTCGGATGTCACGTGCTGTTCGATTTCAAGCTTGACGGTGCGGAGTCGCATTTCAAAGAGAATTCTTTGGTCGAACAACATCTCTTCCACCTCCTCTTTGGTGACGCCTGATCCGGATGTGCCAACTGGCCGTGTCTCCATCGTCGGCCCTCGCACTGGAGAAGATACGTGGGTCGCTGGAGGTGTGGAAGACGCACCGGTCTGCCCTCTACAAGTATCCGCACCGATGCTGGATCGCTCACTGGCGCCCTCGCCACTCTCCTCGACATCGGCACCTTCATCTCCAGACGTGTCATCCTCACCACCTCCTCTGCTCGAGACTCCGTCATCGGATTCCTGCCTCACCAACTGGCCACCACTTCCACTACCTCCGTGTGATGCATTAAACTGCGGCCCCACAACGTTCCTGGCAATCTCATCCAGCACAGGCACCGGAGGATCATCGTACGGCACGAGAGTGGAGAACTACTGCTGTTCCGCCTCAGCGTCGATGGGACGAAGTGTGGCATACACATGCAACTGCAATGTACGGTTATACATTAGAAACGAAAATATTCAGGAATGACACGAAACGTGAATAACAAAAGTAACACGTGGTATCCATACCCGCACGTTCTTGAAGAATGCATCGTACGTACGATGCTGTGGTTGTTTTCGTGCGGACCACCTAAGCAATCGTGGCATTTGTTCCCCAACTCTCTGGCCAAAACGCTCCCCAATCTCGGGAACTGCCTCGTACGCCCAAACCTGTTCCATCAAGACAAACAAAAAAAATAACTGAAATGGTACGCACGATGCTACATGACGACAAACAAATAAGCATGATATGCTAGTATTTAAAACATTGTGTACCTGCATGGCAATGGGAAATCCATGAATAGTGTACGTAACCTCCTTCTCTTGCCTCCTCTTCGCCTTAAGAAATTTCTTTGTCTAGAAACCCCGAAATCTGTGCAGTAAACGCCGATAGCCGACTCTACCCCAAGGGTAGGCAAAAAAGATATCTAGGTCGTCAACAATAGATAGTGTACGCAAATCAATTCCGACGTTATTATCAGGGGCATTGAAAACTCCTTCGACTATTAGCACGAGCCCTAGCTTGTAGCGGTCGGCTCGGGCCGTCGAATGTCGGCCAATAGTAGTTTGAAGTTGTGCTAACGATATCTTCTCCATGGATTTGAAGTACCTCTCCTTCAGCCTTCTCCTCTCCAGCACTCGATCGAACTCATCACCCTCCGGGAATACACCGCATCTTAACCCCGTCACAAGGGTGTATTCCTGTAGACCGAATCTCATCATGTTGCCTTGCACATTGAACCAGAGCTCGTTAACCTTGTCAGTGCGAATGGTTCTGAACACGAGCTGCTGGATGAGCTGGGCAGAGAATTGAATCTCTGCAACCTCGGCCAGATACCCAAATGGGGAGTTTCGAAACTCGTCGCGCTGTCGGTCATCGAAAACATCCATCACTGTCTTCACATACTTCAAGTTGCTCCTCTGTGAAATGTGGGCCCGCAACCTTGCCTCCTCTGGAATACAATAATCAAACTCCATCAGTCCTGTGTCCTGCAAGATGCATTCATAAAACTCACTCGGGTTACTGGATAAACTTAAAGATATTGTATCATAAATAGCAGTTTAATGAAACACACTAAGGCATGGACACACTCAACTGTCGAGAAAAACTGACTACAACCGTCGGTACCGACAGATGATCTGTCGAGATCTGCCTATACCGACAGTTGATGTCCAAACATGCAAGAAGGCTGGCCTAACTGTCGAGAAAACCTGAGCTCTACTGTCGGGAATGACAGTTCAGTGGGAGGCATTGAACTTGTTATTGCTGAGATAAAAATTACGTAACTTAATCACTACTACCACATAATATTAAAGAAAACATTTGAATGGATTGGGGCCCCAATAATGCATGTAAACAAATGATTGACAGTCCAGTGGGAGGCATTGAACTTGTTATTGCTGAGATAAAAATGACGTAACTTAATCACTATTACCACATAATATTAAAGCAAATATTTGAATGGATTGGGGCCCCAATAATGCATGTAAACAAATGATTGAAAATGATTGATGTATTATACAAGCTTTAGCATTCAGTGATTGGAATATAAATAATGGAAACGTGATATTGATAAGCAGAATAGTTAACAAACATTAGACCTCATTACCATGTGCCTAATGCCCAGCAACATACCTAAAACTCTACCGTTATATAACGGTATCCTATGGCATTATATTACAGTATATTAAAAAAATCCATGTTGTCTAAGTCTAAGGAAATATAAAATTGGAATAAACTGTGAACAGAGATCTTTGAGATCCATGTTCACAGTCACAGCTTACCAGAAAGAAGAGGGGAAAAAGAAAAAGATAGCAGAAGTAGGTCAGACAAATGATGAGAAAGATAAACTAAATAAGTATTCCCAACTCCACTGCTCTTCACAATTCAATATAAAAGACTACAAATGCCTCTTACCCTAAAATTTATTAACTGGGTGGGGCGTGGGAAGCATGTTAAAAGTCCCAGTTACATGGGAGTTTTTGTCACAATGCTTCTTCGATTTTCAGATTATGAAATTCCAATCTGCATATGGCAGCAAGATGCAATTCAAATCAACCTGCAATCCCCAATGGTGGTAATCATACGTCTGAAATAATCTTGAACAAAGTTTTTTAATCCACAGCTTCCATTTTCATTTTGTATGGTGTGACAATTATACTCCGCCAAAATCAACACATTGACATGTCTATATGAAGTACACATGTCGTCGTACGCTCAATAAGAATCATACTGACTATAACTAGATCGTTAGATTAGGATTTTAAAGCAATTACACGGAGTAGACCACAATCTAAAGAAAAAAGAAACTGAAACGGAGGTCAATACTTTGATTGCGTGTTGAATCTTTCCACCAGAAGGTGATATGATAAAACGAATGTGTCAACCGGAAGAAGAATCAACATTAGATGGTAATATTACAGACAACTACACATCTCAATGAAATTCCATGTATCTGACATAGTTTCTAATAGAAACAACTCCACCCTACTGAGACGAAATTGTAACTCCACATGACAATATATTTATTTTCTCCACTTATCTACATCTCCCATTCATGTGATATTGCGCTCCCAAGGGATCTACTTTGGTCACCACAATCGAGACAAACATTCAAATGAGCCTTGCTATCATATGGTATCCAAAATGGAGGAATATTATGTAGGACTACTTCGGGATCTATCAACTACAATTTTAAATTTTTACTTCTAATAAGGAAGCATAAAATGAGGAACTTCACGGTTCATTAATTTTATGGCTGAGATGACTTGGAAAAGGTGGGTTTTCAGATACACAGCTGAAGGTTTGGAGCTTCAGGTAGAAATGGCTAAAAAAAAAAAAAATGGTTCAAGAGGCTGTTCTAGGTGTTGTGTTAAACAATACCCTAGAAGATAACTATTCAGTTAGTGAGGTTTCACGGTGTCTAAGGGATTAGGAAAAATCCGGGCATCTCAAAAACAGTTGGGTTGAAAACACATGACGCGATCCACATGGAATCAAAAGCTCAGAAATGTTTAAGTACACTAAACAACTAAATTGAAGAATGGCACGAGTAATTCTTAGAGTTCGATCCCTACCATCCAACTAGGATGGACTTCGAGCCATACACAAGTGGAGGAAAACACAAAAATAAGAAATACCAAGCACAAGCTTCTCTGACATTCCAAAAACTTCACCAATTCACACACTTTTTAGGACAACAGTATTATCATGAACTGTGAAATATCTAGAAAGTACACCAATGCTGAGCTTAAGAAGACAGTGACAACTATATCATGATAAAGACTACGAACGGTACAAAATTTGCTAGGAAAACTGCAAGAAATTGTACAGATAAAATACTTGTATGCATAACATTACAAGTCAAAAGGCATCTTGCAAGAGGAGGCCGCCAGCAATTGAATTCAGATTCAATGATAATTTTCACTAACGAAAATAAAAAAAAAATTTACTTCTTCAAAGGAAATAAAATGTGCATTTCAAAAAGCAATCTGCACCTTCTACTTGTTCAACAATTGCATAATGAAAGAAATATGGCTGCATCCTACTATTGCCCAACAAAGAGGAACAAAACTTGAAATTACAATGGGAAGTCAGAAGATGGGTGGATTTACCTTCGCCTTTGTTCGGTTTCTCTGGCAGTCGTAAGGGAGAAGACGACCTCGACGTTGTGGTCAGCTTCGGGCGATTCGAGTGACAATGGGAGTGATTTCGACTCAGCTTCGGGCGATTCGACGGCCACTGGGAGTGATTTCGACGTTGACGATCGTCGTCCAAGGCTGTGACTGTGTCGGCGACTGCAAAGAGAGGGCAGAGAGAGGGTCGACGATTGCAGAGAGCTTCGACGTTGTTTTGGGTGAGAGGCGACGTTTGGCTCTCTTCCTTCATTTCGCTTTTTTTTTTCTTTGTTTTTCTTCTCTAAACACTGCCTAGTCAAATCTACAATTAATCCAAAACCTGTAAGGTATTACATTTATGCAGAGGGGTAAATTAGTCCAAAACTTTCATAATTTGCCATATTTGTAATGTCAGAAAAAGGATGACATTTGTGTAAGTAAAAATCAATATTTTGACATGCGGTGTAATTTCTACTTAACTAAATAGGCTGAGATTATACTAACACACAATTTATTGTCACATTTACGTATCAACCACAAAATCTCACGAACGATCACGAAGACACAAATTGAAAGGTTACAATTACAAATTTAGAGTATGTTTGATTTGAATTAAAATCTAATTTTAATTTAAGTCAAAGTCAAACAATCAATATTAAACACATCTTTCATGGGTTCCATAACTTTTTAACTATGCATTTAAAAAACTTTTACCAATCTAATTTTTTAATCATCGTCAAACACCCTCTTAGTAGCAATTCACATATTTTTTTAGGTCATGTATCATTTATTGGTTACGAATTATTTAAATCATTGATCCCAAATGCTTCGTCCCATACCATAGTTCCACCACCATTGGTATTATTCAAACGCTGTTGCAACCTCACTACTACTGTCGTCGTTGCCGTCGCTGCCACCACCTGCTCCAACAACCAACACCACTACCTCTTTAAAAACGTCATCACATCCACCTCCAGTACCACTCAAACACCATGCCACACCACAACCACTACGTCATCGAATCCATCATCACCTCCGCCTTTACCTCCAACCAACCATGCGTACTACTAGAGATGCAACGCCATTGCAACCACCTGCACCAACAACCTAACACAGGCGCACTGGAAATTGTAGATCACACCACCTCGATTTTTGGAGATTGCTCGCTCTCTTTGTCATCCCCTTGTTGCTTGATGATGTTCAACGACGCTAAAGATCTCTCAACCCCACTACAACATTGACATATTTAACAAAGATGACATAGTTTAGAGCGGAGCTTTGATTGGAAGGCAGGACCGCCAACAACGGTGACCATAGTCGATGTGAGTGAGTACTGATCTTGAGCATCAATCCACCATCGAAGGAAAAGTAGTGTTTGTTTTTTGGTGACGGTGGTCGGAGTTGGTAGGTGATGGACGAAGTTCGTAGGTGCGGTAGATTGTGAGAGAAAAGAGAGGGATATTGTAGAGAGAGAAGGTCACTGGGAATAGTGGGTGTAAAACGTACTTGATTTTTGAAAGAAAAATCTTTACACCTTATTATTAAAATGAGATGCTAAAAAATAGGTGTTGGGGTAATTTTAGCCCTTTTTTGACATCTTTTATGGTGCGTTTGATCATTAATATTTTTCAATGGAAAATGTCCTTTATCTATATGAATTTTTGTTTTTGTATTGTTTCATTGATATTTTTTCCATGAAAAATATTTTTTTACTTTTGGTTATATGATCATATTTTTCTTGAAAATAAGGAAAATATTTTCTTTAGGGAAATTATGATTTTATTTTCTAGCCAATTCACTTACTCTCTCTCTCATCTACCTATTAATAAGCCCTCGTTTTGCCCCCTTTTCTGGAAATGAAAATGAGTGGAATAATATTTTTTTGAATAATGAGTGGTTGAAAAAGAATAAAAAATTTTCGATTTACGTGTAATATTATTTTATGAAAGATTGTGTGGTTGAAAACAAGAGAGAAAAAATAAAATGTAATGGAATAAAATTTAATGGGGGCCAAACGGGAGCTAAAAGATGGACATGTATAAAATTTTATATGTTTAAAATTAAATAAATCAAACACAATTAGTTAATACTTTTTATTAAAATCCATACTTGCAATCAAACGTACTATTACTTTAATTTATTTTTCATATTAATTTTCAATCACATACTCACATAGTAAAATATTATACACATAAACTCAATTTTTTTTATATTTCTTGATTACAATTTAAAAAAAAAAAATACTATTCGAAATCATGTTTTTAAAATTTGAAGGATGTCAAAAATCAGCTCGAGTAGGAAATAAGTCCACAATTTAATGAAAAATCGACAGCCAGAGTTAAAACGGCGTCGTTCGTGCTTTAAACAGATAACGTTAAAATAAATTGGTTAAACTTTGAATTTCGAGGCTCCTTCAGCGTCTCGGCGTCTCCATTCTATCTCTTCACGATAATAGCGAAGTCAAAGGTAGTCGAGACCCTAATCTCTTTGCATGTTTTTGAATTTTTTTTTTGATTTTTAACTAACAAGAATCCAATAGTTCTTTGGATATTAAGCATTCAATTGATTTTGTATTAACTGCAGAATAAAATTGAATTTTCAGCGATCTAGGTTTACAACATGACGACCGCAGCTAGACCCACATGGGCACCTGCTAAAGGTGGGAATGAACAAGGGGGAACTCGAATTTTCGGCCCATCCCAAAAGTATTCTTCCAGGGACATTGCCTCTCACACTACCTTGAAACCTAGGTTCGTTTTTTACTTTTTCCTTTCAATTTTCGTTGGCTTTATGTTACTTAGTTTTCATTTATGGTTCATGCGCGGAATTTTTGTATGATTAATCGTTAATACTCTGGAACATTTTTTTGATGGTTTAGAGTGAATTAGTATTTTGTGGTTAATGAGGCCGTATCTTTTGTTGTCTACTTACTCAAATGATGTGAATTTTGTGCCCTTTGATCATGGAGCGATCAAACAAATAACTTCTAAAGAAAAATTGTGAGAAACTGTGGCGATGTTAGTTTTTGCTGTCATTGCTAAGCTCTACGCTCCGTATTCTTCCAGAATGTATAACTGGGCTTGCTGTAGATCTTAACCGAAGAGAAGGATGGATGACTTCAAAATGATCAAATGATAATCTTTGTAGCCTAGATGTGAGATTCTTTGTTCTAAATTAGAAAGATGGAATCCATATGTCTTTGAAAATCTCAAAAGAAATTCTCTCTCCCATCTCACCTCGAGGAAATTTTGGAAGATCTTCTGTGGAATGCACTCCATAGCCATTCATTAATTGGCTGCTTTACAATGTATAATTATTAGTTGATAGTTTGTACAAGAAGACGAGGGTTATATAAAGAGAAATGTATAATGCCTTTTTTTTTTTCCCCTATTGTATTTCAAAATTTATTGCGTTGTTTCGTGAATGTGCTTCTTGAAAATGAAAAAATTTGTTCTGTCTGAATTTTGTCTTGCTACACACATGAAACAGATTGCTGTGTACATTACTCTTGCATCAAAAGTACAAGTTTGATTTTTGGTCACCTATGCTGGGGAATAAGGCTTTAGTTTTTTGTTGTGAAACATCAGCCTTGAATGTTACGACTTTTCTTGTCTCGCCTCAGTCCATGACGACTATAATTTTAGTTCGTTATTCTTTTTTATATTATTAGTTTCTATATATCATTTCTGCATATTATGTGGTGATGGCATTTAGAAAGTATTAATATTTTAATTTCCATCATATAGAAAGGAAGGACAAGACACACAAGATGAGCTACAAAGGAGGAACCTTAGAGATGAATTGGAGGAGCGGGAGAGGAGACATTTTTCATTGAAGGGTAGGAATCGTTATCTTGTCCCAGAAAATTTTTTGTTGAATTTTTTATGACTATGACACTTATATCTCGTGTTGCAGATGATAGAGATCGTAGAAAAGGAGGTCATCTTCTTTTAGAAGGTAAATTGTACATGCTTGTTTTACTTTTAGAAAGAACCTACGTAGAATTAATTTTTTCTTGCACTTTTTGATCAGCTAACAGCATCTTTGTTACAGGTTCTAAGAGAGAAGTTGAAGATCGTATTGTTCCACGTAATGTGGACGCGGACGATGCCGATGTGGATGTCAAAAGTGATGATAGGTCTGCATTTTTCCCTTTTTCAATAAATTTTGTTACTGGTGCTTTCCACATACACAGCTTGATTTGGTGATGTATTGCATGGTGTATTTATTTTTTCATCTCATGTTTGAGCCCCATTTTTCTCACAACTTATTTTTCCAAAACTTATTTTCAATTGCACATTCTCTCATAAAATAATTTTACATGTATATCCAAAACTTTTCCCTATTATTCACTCACACGCTCTCCAAAAAATCACTATTCTAAAACACATTTCCCCCAAAAAAGGGGGCTCAAACAGGGGCTAATTACTGTGATTTATGTGTTCTCTGAAAAATTATTTACCCGTGGCTAGTGAGGACGACGACGACGACGAGGAGGATGATGAAGAAGCACTTTTGGCTGAACTTGAACTTATAAGGAAGGAAAAAGCTGAGCAGAAACTACGAGAAGTAAGTTGTTAAGTACTCTAGTTTCTCATTTTGTGTGTGTTTTTTGAGTTCTTGTTCACGTGTTTTACTTTTCTCGGAACTTAATTGAAATTTTTGGTATTTGGAAGAGGAATGTTGTGATTATTCTTCAAAAAGGTTGCATGGCGCTCTTATTATTATCAATTTGTTTCCACTAGATTTGCCATTAAACTGATAGTTGGGTTGCTATTAAAATTTAAAATGATAGTGTCAATTATTGAATAATCTATGGCTGTTGCTCTTTTCATTAAGGATGTCTTTTATGCTTTCGGCAGGAACGAGAGAAGCAAGAAGAAGAGCTGCAAGCCAAAGAGGCAGAATTGTTGCGTGGAAATCCTCTGCTAAATAATCCGGCTTCCTTTAGTGTAAAAAGAAGGTATAGTATGCCATCAATCTTTTGTGCTTAGTCAGTCACATGCTATTTTATTTATTCTGTATCGTATGGTTACTTAATTCGTCTTTACAGGTGGGATGATGATGTGGTTTTCAAGAACCAGGCCCGAGGCGAGACCAAAATTGCAAAACGCTTTATCAATGATACCATCAGGAATGACTTCCATCGGAAATTCCTCCAAAAGTACATGAAATAAAACAACTATTTGAGTAAGATAACCAGAGATGTGAGCCAAAAGATGTAATGAACAAAAGAAGAGTCTGCTTGAATGTATGAGCAAATTATGAATGTGCTCAATTTGTTCTAATTGCTGTTGACTTGAAGAAAAGTTTGCACTGTAATTTTCGTTTATGTGGATTGTTTCTGTGTTCTATATAATGGATGGATTGTTGTGTATTAATTGCTGTTATTTCTCTTGCTTCCATATACCGTGTTAGCTGAATGGTGGGTTCTGTCAAAACATTCCCCCGTTTGGTGTAGATTAAAGTTTTGGATTTCATGAAATGTGTGGTCTAGACGATTATTGCTACCCTCTATAACGTATGAGTTTACATTCATCCCTGTTCGAGAATTAACTGTTGATTTTGAGTTGAGGACATTTGATCTATTACAACATAATTATTATAAAAAAAATCTACTTTTCAAGTATTGCAGTCAATATATTTTCTGCGAAGACAAAAGTATGCAAAGTAACAATAAGCTATAGCTATGGCTTATAGCACTCAAACTTCTTGCAAAAATAACTATAATAACTTGAAATTTCAGATGAACTTGAATGATTATTTATGAGATTAACTTCGCCTGCCGAAGTATCAACAAAACAATGCCTTCGGGTAAACAAATTATCGGCGGATTATCAAGAACTCTAAACGTGAGTCCACACCCTGCAATTGCAAAGAGAGACAATGGTAAGGTATTGGCGATCCTTTCATATTCAATAGGACGTATTTTTCCCAATTAAGTAAATTGACATGTCAAATTCTTTTGTATTTTGTTTCTCATTTCATCCCTTTTAATCTCCGTGACGTTATAACTTGTACATGATGAACATTTATTTAGCGCACGTTTGATATAGAGTACTGGACTTGATTGTACAATGAACAAGATTTTAGTCTTTTTTCTTCCAGACTACTAACGAGTGTTGTTTCATCTTCACTACCAAACATGCAATTAATCTAAATGTAGTGAACTTTTGCCACAAACAGGATCCAGCGATATTTGACTTGCTACATGTAATGCAGGGAAGCCACCAGAAAACCACTGGAAGAGAAAAGAAGAATTCCTGAGCAGTCCTCCAGGCTCCATGCCCTGAATCCAGATTTGAAACTGAGAGGGAAGGTGTCTTGGCTGAGATCAAAGAGAGGTACTCAAATTGATGGACATATTTTGTTTCCAATTCTACAAGTAAATTCTGGCTTTACATGTTGATCCATGGAGTCTTTCGATATTTGTACCTTGTTCTTAATCTTTCTACATATCAGTGTTAACAAAAGTGCACCATCAAACCAGTCTAGCAACGGCATTGATGAGCCTTTGTATGTTTCCCTTTATTAAGAATGGCTTCACATCTGAAAACCATTTTTTGTAGTGGTAAGCAACGCACACTACACACAGGAGATGTGGGGTACATCAGATTTGCCTAATATCTGAATTATGTTGTGAAAGAAAGACTGTTTGACTGAAGCGAAGAACAACTAGGAATTAAGATTATTAGAATGTGCTTGAAAACCAGCAAATCCTATTCCGTATTCAAAACTGATGTGATCTGGTTTTCTTGACATTTTTGGATCAAAAAATGGGTGCCAAGTTCACTATCCACCTGGTGTGCTTTATGTTTCCGAATTGGATTTCATGAAATGTGTGGTCTAGACGATTATTGCTACCCTCTGTAGCTTATGAGTTTACGTTCATTCCTGTTCGAGAATTAACTGTTGATTTTGAGTTGAAGACATTTGATCTATTACAACATAATTATTATAAAAAAAAAATCTACTTTTCAAGTATTGCAGTCAATATATTTTCTGCGAAGACAAAAGTATGCAAAGTAACAATAAGCTATAGCTATGGCTTATAGCACTCAAACTTCTTGCAAAAATAACTATAATAACTTGAAATTTCAGATGAACTTGAATGATTATTTATGAGATTAACTTCGCCTGCCGAAGTATCAACAAAACAATGCCTTCGGGTAAACAAATTATCGGCGGATTATCAAGAACTCTAAACGTGAGTCCACACCCTGCAATTGCAAAGAGAGACAATGGTAAGGTATTGGCGATCCTTTCATATTCAATAGGACGTATTTTTCCCAATTAAGTAAATTGACATGTCAAATTCTTTTGTATTTTGTTTCTCATTTCATCCCTTTTAATCTCCGTGACGTTATAACTTGTACATGATGAACATTTATTTAGCGCACGTTTGATATAGAGTACTGGACTTGATTGTACAATGAACAAGATTTTAGTCTTTTTTCTTCCAGACTACTAACGAGTGTTGTTTCATCTTCACTACCAAACATGCAATTAATCTAAATGTAGTGAACTTTTGCCACAAACAGGATCCAGCGATATTTGACTTGCTACATGTAATGCAGGGAAGCCACCAGAAAACCACTGGAAGAGAAAAGAAGAATTCCTGAGCAGTCCTCCAGGCTCCATGCCCTGAATCCAGATTTGAAACTGAGAGGGAAGGTGTCTTGGCTGAGATCAAAGAGAGGTACTCAAATTGATGGACATATTTTGTTTCCAATTCTACAAGTAAATTCTGGCTTTACATGTTGATCCATGGAGTCTTTCGATATTTGTACCTTGTTCTTAATCTTTCTACATATCAGTGTTAACAAAAGTGCACCATCAAACCAGTCTAGCAACGGCATTGATGAGCCTTTGTATGTTTCCCTTTATTAAGAATGGCTTCACATCTGAAAACCATTTTTTGTAGTGGTAAGCAACGCACACTACACACAGGAGATGTGGGGTACATCAGATTTGCCTAATATCTGAATTATGTTGTGAAAGAAAGACTGTTTGACTGAAGCGAAGAACAACTAGGAATTAAGATTATTAGAATGTGCTTGAAAACCAGCAAATCCTATTCCGTATTCAAAACTGATGTGATCTGGTTTTCTTGACATTTTTGGATCAAAAAATGGGTGCCAAGTTCACTATCCACCTGGTGTGCTTTATGTTTCCGAATGACCAAATCTGTACAATACAAATGTAGCAAGATGACAATGTTAAGATGTATGTCTGGTCATACTAAATTGGAAGTGGGAATATCATGGTAATAGTGGCGCCGGTTCTGATTGAGGATAAATTAAGGAAATGACGACTTAAGTAATTGGGACATATTCTGCTAAACCTATATAGTCCCAGTTTCAAATGTGTGATGCGATCTTGGTAGACCAAGTCACAAGAGGGAGGGTAGACCAAAACTAACAACAGACCGTTGTAGTAGTTAAGAATCATTGTTGTATAAGCAAAGCTTGGTTTAACTAAAGCTTTATCTTGTAAATTTTGAAAGCATGCTGCAACATCTTGAGTATGTGATGATTTTATCAAGTTTCCCATCACAATAGGATGTTAATTATGATTATCTATACTCATTTTCTGTCCTTCTATAGGAGAGGAACTTTTTAAACTTTCGGCAGATCTTGAGAAACAAACCAAGTTGGCGTCCAGGATATCCTTCGTTTAACGGATGTAAGAGATCACAAAGAATAGCAGGTAACAAGACATTGACATACAGCGGATCATAAAAGATAAGAGGGATATTCAATTGGAGAGTAATTCCATCCAAGAGCCTTAATCGAACTTATGTCGTGGTGGATGGAATCTATTTTCAGGTATAATCTTCTGGTGAGCCTTTCTTGTGCCTTTCCTTGGTTTGACATTTTCTAGGACAGTGCCGGGCGTTTTAACTTTTTTGATTGAATGCTAGTCTATAATTTGTAGTTAAAAAGTTTCATTTTCTGCAGCGAGGCCAAGAAAGACAGTTGCTCGACAATCTTACGGGCTTCTCACAAGCATCCATGAGAATTTTGAACAGATTGCTGAAAATATTCTCCCCACTGATAGAACCCGAAGGAACGTGGACAAGGTACAAGTAGATCTTGATGCCATCGGAAATGAAAATAATCTCCTTGAGCGAGGGCTTCATGGTATAGGAATCTGTAAAGTTCAATCAAACTCCATATGAATCAACTGTGAGCAAATTGTTAATTAATTGCATCGATTGGAAGTTCATTTAGAGGCAGTCTAAACTTGTTAATTCTTGTGCTTTGTGTCATAAACTCGTCCATTATGCCTTCATGTTTGTAGAATAACATCTTGTGAATATACTGGGTTAAAGTTGAGTCAGCATTGCCTATGTTTTCAACTAGCAAATTTAAGTGCAGTAATTTTAAAATAATAAAGTTTTATCGAACAAAATTACAATAAGAAATAAGGGTTCGTTTGATTGTAAAAATGAAATTGAATTGAATTGAAAACGAATTACAGGGAATTGAATTGCCTATAAATTTTTTTTCTGGAAATTATAAATTATTGCGTTTGATTGGTATAATTTTCCACGTGAAAAATATTGAAATAAAAGTATTTTTTGGTATTTGTTTGACTCTCTTTGACATGAAAGTTGTCAATTAAAGTGATAAATTTTACTGGTATTGAAAATGAAACTTGTTTCCATTGCCAAAAAAAAAAATAAAAAAATTCAAGAAAATCATCTATCTTTTGATATTCGTTTGACTTTATTTTACATAAAAAATGTCAATTAGAGGGAAATAATTTTTTACAATAATTCTTAAAATTTGTTAACTTAGCCAACCAAAAAGAAGAAAAAATATATATATATGCTACAGTAATCGGGAAAACCAATTCCCACAAAAAATATACCCATCAAACATCTTAAAAATTGAAAAATATTGTTAAAATTTCATTTTTCATGAAAAATTTTGGTGTATCAAACACACCCTAACGTTATTATTAATGAAATTTTTTGTTTATTTATAAAAATCGAGAATAGGCATAACCAAACAAACACTCGACCGGAACCTCAAAGAGGCAAACAGACGACGACGGCGCCCCTTTCACCGGATCTACTTCTGTCTGAAATTTAACGCCGGCACTGATATCGGAAACAGTAAGTAATGGGCGCCGAGTCACGGTACGAGATCCACCAAAATGCCTATATAAAGCTGGTCCTTCACGCCCTGAAGCACAGGACATCCGCCGTAAACGCCGCTCTCATCGGCCGCTCCTCCTCCGACGGTGACTCTGTCGAGATTGTCGATTCCGTCCCTCTATTCCATTCACAGATCGGTCTCCTCCCTCCCCTCGAAATCTCCCTCATGATGGTTATCAACAGTAACTTTGCACTGTTCTTTTTTTTATTTTATTTATATCATGATTTTGATTTTTTAATTGGAAAATAACAGGTAGAGGAGTACTATGGAGAGAAAGGATTGAGTATCGTGGGTTATTTTCATGCTAACGAGAGAAACGATGATTTTGAGTTGGCTAGTGTTGCTAAAAATATTGGTGATCACATGACACGATATTTTCCTCCGGCTGCATTGCTTTTGGTTAGTCTTTATAGTAAAATTTATGTAACCTTAATAATGATAGCACTTTAAATTTAGTATTGATAAGAAAAACCCAAAAGATTGATGCATTCAATTTGGTGAATTTCAGTTGGATAATAAAAAGCTTGAGGCTGTGACGAAGGGGAAGGACAGGAGTCCAGTTATGCAGGTGATTATTATATTGCCATCTTGAGTTTGTGTTGAAAATTTCTTTGCTGGATTAATGTTCGTTAGTGACAATTTCTTAGGTAATGTAAATCTTTTTAATAGCTTTCGAGATTGATCTTTTTGGTGGTAATTCAAAGTGGTGGAATTTGCTATGAAGGAATGGGCTGGGAATGGATTTGACATTCCCGAATCTGATTCTGATCCCATGCCTGGTGGTGTAACTGACTCTGAGGAACGGCCATCCTCATTGCCAATGACATGAGGTTCTCTCATCCCATACTGGCCATTCCTGTCAATTGGGAATGACACACATTTTCAAAAAGTGAAACATCATTCCTTTTTCCTGTTTATTCTACCAACCAGTCAGCACCCCTGCCATCGTGTACTTTCTTCCCCCATCCCTTTGTTGGGCTCACTTCTCACAATCATCTGAGGTTGTCAGATTGTAATTTTGACTTGGATCAGAGGAGGGGATTTGCGGATGGATCAAGGCTCGTAAGATCCTACTAAATAATGATAATTTAACAATCATAAAAATATAAAAAAGGTGTAAACACAAATTATCATCTACGAGTCCATAATTAACAAAAAAAGCCAATAAAGACAAAGTTTTAACTACTTATGGAAGTACACACTACACAATAATATTTTTTTGTCAAATTTGAGAACTTAACATACATTAGAGGAAAGATTATGAGAGTCGAATGCTAAATAGCTGATTTGGGATTTGTGTTAGGATTTTAAATTTTTTTTTTTTTTTTTGTTTGATTTTCTTTATTTTTTTCTTCTATTTTTTGAATTTGGACTATATTATGTTACTTATTCAAAAGCAACCTGAAATAAATAAGTCCAACAACTTAACCTAATATATTGCATTTTAAAAATGAACACAACCTAAGCCTATTATTATTTGGATTGTATGATCCTGGAGATTTAAAATCGATTGTACCGTATCTAGAAGATTGCTATTATTGACTCGACAATTAGGATCATCATTTTTTCAACAAGCTTTCCATCACCTCTTCCCCTCCTACAGCCACCCATCTTGCCGTTCCCAGCAACTCAATCTCTACCTCCAGCACAAGCCCCTTTTTTCATCTTTCCCTAGTCCTTTCTTCAAATGCCACCATCTCATTCAACAACCATCAACAGTAGACCACCTCCCACTAAGTCAACCAACAATGACCATCGTGACCATATCCCCAACAAAAACATCTCCACCTGATCCCTCCAGAACCCAATTTCTTCTACTTCTCGTTCACTGGTCACCACAGCCACACACTTGTGTGAAAAAAAAACACACACACAAGTCAAAATTCTTAAACATAAGCAAAATTATGCCCATATAGATCCCAAGTTAGTTTATTTTCAAATGTCAAAAATTAATTAATTTTCAGCAATTAAAGAAATAGATCTCCTAAACAGGGGGAGAGATATAGACGAAATTTAGTGTCGGCTAGACCTAATAAAGTGTATGTAGCCCATTATGATATTTATTAGCTTTACATGCATAGGACATGAGTTTGCTGCATCTCTTGTTATCTGGGGATTTAAACTAGTAGAATTGTTTTTCATGTTTTATTTTCTTAATTTGGCATTTTAACATACGAGATCCAATTTAAGAATATATACCCAAGTTTTGACTTAAAAGGCATTCTCGCCAATTTACCGTTCTAGTTCTATTACACCTCCTTTCGGTACTCTTTACCAAACACAAGAATGAAGTCAAGCTTGGGAATTTTGATTACACTGCTATCTTCATTTCTAAACATATCAAACACTGGATATCTTATTTTATCACTCCTATTCCATTCTCACTTTCATCAGAGTTTTGAGTTCATTCCATTCCCTACCAACCCTTACTTGCATACCAAAAGCCACTTATGATTACTCGTATGGATAAATTTGAATCTCCCTCTCTGTGATTTAGGTTAGCCATTAGCTTCTTCTCTGCATGTGATGCCTAAGATTTCAATTACTTATTTTGTCATTTCATGGTTGAGGAGTTGAGGAGAATGCATAAAGCCGAGAGTGCCTATATCTTGAGAATATGTAAACGGCAATAAATTATCTTGTTCACACAACTTTCGGTGGAGTTTTAAGTGGGCTGCTCAATTTTGTTTCCAATTTGATCACGATGTTCAGTTTTCTTGAGAATTGCATCACCCTCCACAATCAAACTAATGGTATAGCCTGTGTCAGACAGAATTTTCATGTGCACAATTTTCACACTACAATGCTGCAAGATGTGCAAAAGGCTTGTCTGACTTAAAAAAGCTTCGACATAGTAGATCCTTTATATCTTTATACACGGAGATTATAGCATTTGTTCAATTTTGGTTTTTATTTTGACTTTGTTTAAAAGCTTGTATTGTGCTCTTTGGTTTGATGTATTTACTTTCTGTATTGCCAAATTGTTTCATTGCCGGCCATGTATATCTTGTTTCTTTCATTTTGAATTTATCTGGACAGACGACAGTTGTTGTTCTCTGTAATTTGCTTCCGTCTATAAGGTCTATCAATCAAATCTTCTCCTTTGCAAGTTGTGTATTGTCGTTAACCCAGGGATTCATAAACTGAATTTTCATCAACAAAGCTCTGTTTCTTTGTATTCCACTCTGTTTCGCAGCTTTACACAAAGGATGCACCTAGGAGTTGGAAACTAGCTGGTTCAGATGGAAACAAGAAGCTAACTATCAAGGAGCCATCAGCTAATATAGTCCTTATGGATTACATTTCGTCTGACAAATGGAAGGATATTATAGACTTTGATGACCACCTAGACGACATCAGCAAGTGAGAACCATATACTAGTCTTTTGCTCCGCTGATGATTTTAAATATAATTTTCTGGTGGTTAATATTTTTGACATTCCTTTTTTCCCTGTAGGGACTGGCTGAACTCAGAACTTTTCCAGTAAAATCCAATGGCCGAAACATCTTTATTATGGTGTAGCAAGTTCCGTTGGTTCTTACTCTTTTCTTGGTTGCTACTGCTGAGATTTTGGAATTATGATAGCCCATAAGACCTTGGATAGGCTGAATATCAAGTTCTACTTGTAGTGAAACTTTTCTAACGATCTTTTTATGTTGGCGATCAGCCTGAATTTTAAATGTTCGTCTCTTTATCCTTGTTGATATTCTTAATTTATTATCCTTTTGATAAGTTCCATTGTTACGTGAGTTCTTGTTTATGAAAGGATTGAACTTATTAATCTATTTGCTTGCTTTGAACCTCTCTTTATGCATTAATAAAATGAATGGAGCTGTAAAAAAAGATATAGGTCTTAACACAATAAATTTATTGGCGTTGAGATCTGATTTGAAAGGGAGTTAACCAAATCATAAAATTCAACTTAATCACTTATTGTACTAGATAATATTGATTTGATTCTTGACTATGAGTTCGAAAAGATAATAGATTAAAAATATTAATTGGCACAAAACGTCCTTACCTTTCAAGTTTATTGTGGAAAACGTCCCTACTTTTCATTTTTTGGTATTTGCGCCCTTGTCGTACACCTTTCTTTGCAAAAAACGTCTTTTTCACTGTTTTGGGGTGTAAAATAACTAATATACCCTTATTCTTAAACAAAACAAAAGAAAAAAAGAAAAGAAAAATAAAGCACAAATTGCAAACATACTCCCAAACTTTTTAAAAGTGCAAATGAGTCCCAAACTTTTTATTAAAATTGCAAATGAGTCCAATCATTTAACATACATTTATTATTCTATCTCCACTTCTAAAAAATGTTCATACATATGGCTCTCTCTCTCTCACTTCTAAAAATCTCAATTGTTTTAACTTCAAGGATGCTTTCGTGGTGTTTATTCTAATTCAATGGATCTCGAAACCTTTCTATTGACGTGCATTTTTTGTTAGTTTCCAATTATTTAACATACATCTACCATTTGAAAAGCTCAAGAAAAGAGGGAATCTTGGGGGAGGAGAGGAGTGAGAGGAAAGTGAGAGAGAGCAGTCATTATTGTTGAATTGCAGCTCAAGAAAATTCCGGCGTCTACTCCCACGGTTGCTTCCCTAAATCTCTCATTTCACTATTTATTATTATTATTATTATTATTATTATTATTATTATTATTCACTTCATTCCACAAAACTCTTGTAAACATTGATTTATACAGATCACAAAGTAAAACTGCAATTGAGAATTCAATAAAGACACTAGCAAGAACCCATAAACTCTAGCAAGCAACAACTGAAAATACAGCAATCATAGAGACAGTAATTTCAATTTTTATCAGAACAACTGTGGTGGAAAGAAAATGATGAAGCCAGGAATTTAAATGATGGACAGGAAAAAAATAAATCAAATCCAGTTGCCCAGATTGTCTGCCCCCCCAAGTTCCAGAATGTCGGATTTCCTCTTCCAGCTCGTCTTCTCTTCTAGCATCCTTGGAATATTTGCATCAAACTGCCACTTCAGTAGCCACGGTCACCACTACCATATCCACCACGACCACCGCCTCCATAGCCATGGTCACCACCATAACCTCCATCACATTGCCCATAGCCTCCACCTCCATAACCTCCCTCACGGCGTCTGCCACGGAATCCACCACCTCCACCTCCATAACCTACCTCTCATTTCACGATGGAAACTAACACCAAATACAGGTCAATAGAAAGGTTTCGAGATCCTCTTTTGCCTTGTGCAGTATCCTATTCAGATTTATCCAAATCCCCCAATTGACATGTAAAACTCTTCAAAATCCTGCGGAGGCGCTGGTTAAAAAAATTGTCCCCGAAGATGACCTATTTGAACAAGGGGCGACTATCTCCAGTTAAAATAATTTCCTTTAGCTGCAATTCAACAATAATGGCTGCTCTCACTCCTCTTCTCCCCAAGATTCCCTCTTTTCTCGAGCTTTTCAAATGGTAATGGTAAATCAGTAAAGAATATCATTATTCACAGTAAATGTATTTTAAATAAATGATTGGACTCATTTGCAACTTTAATAAAAAATTTGGGATTCATTTGCACTTTTAAAAAGTTAAGGAGTATGTTAGCAATTTCTGCTTTATTTTTCTTTTCTTTTTTTTTTCTTTTGTTTTGTTTAAGAATAAGGGTATATTAGTCATTTTACGCCACAAAACAGTGAAAATGACTTTTTTGCAAAGAAAGATGTACGACATGGATGAAAATGCCAAAAAATGAAAGATATGAATGTTTTCCACAATTAACTTGAAAGGTGTGAACGTTTTGTGCCAATTATCCTTTTTAGAAAAATACATTATAAAAGCTTGTATCTTGGGAATGACACTTTCAAAACACACGGTTGAAGATTCACAATTTTAAATGAGAAAATAAAAATTATAAAATGTTCTCCACTAGGAAGAGATATAATTATCAAGGATGCTTGTTCATGTCTTGTTATTTTATTTATTTTCTGCTACATATAGTTGGTTCCTGGATTTTTTTTTTTTCTTTTTCAGAACTCTATTGCCAAATTGAAATTTTCTTCCGTTGCTTTCTAATGAATGGGCCACGCAGTGCTATTTATGTCATTTATCTTATCCAATTGAGACGAATAAAAACTGGGTCGGGCTTCGGTTTATGTGAATGCATTGGGCCCACATCATTGGGCCCACTATAACCCATTATTCGAAAAGCCTACTGAAAAAGCCTTTCCTTCTCCACTGTTGAAAATAAAAATTCTACAAATTGACCTAAAACCCTAAACCCTAAACCAGCTTCAAAGTCGCCATTTTTGCTTACGCGCAAAGCTCTGTTTTTACAGTACGTTGTTCAAGAATCTTTATTAATTTTCTATTTTATTACTTTTATCTTTTGCGTTGAAATTCTGCTATATTAATACTCTCAATTTCTGTGTATATATGCGCGTTGTTGAATCTGTTTGTATTAGCATAGAAAATAGCTTTGATTTGTATTATAATATAGCTTTATCGTGCACCTCTCTGTACTGTTCTTTACTGCTTTGGAATGAGAGGAAGCACTAAGCTTGTGTGCACCACAGCATAGTTTCACCGGCTCTGCCCTGATCTAGCCAGCTTTTCTTTGCATTGGCTCCTTCCATATTTTTGTTTTTTTATCCTTCTCTTCTCTGCCTTGGTACCCTCCAATTTTTTATGAAGATTCAGGGGAATGTTCAAATGTTTGAGTTTGCTGGTTATAGTGATTTTTCTGCCTCCAGCTACCATTCTTCATACAAACCGGTCAAAGTCCAGCAAGAACTGGTCAATGTCCGGTTGACCCCAGTACAACCATCCAGTTGAAAATTTTATACTTGCACTTGCCGATGATAATGAGGAATTGAACAACAATCCTCTACTATCAAATTTGAGCCTTTTCCCACTAGGCCATGTAAATTGTTGTGTAAAGTTGGAACTAAAATTTATACAATAATACTTTATTTGACATTTTGTTTCCCTAATTAATTTATCTAACTTGTATGAAAAAAAATCAGTTTATATGATTTAAAGATTTCAAGTAGGACATATCAATTTTAAACTTGTAATATATTTTGATTCAACTTTCAAATTCCAAATTCAAGTAGGACATTTCAATTCTAAAAAATATATTTTGATTAAACTTTCAATCAGACAATGACTCATTGGTTGAATCACTTACATGTGGACATGGAAACTTGGCTGGGTCAATGATCGGGTCACTTCTAAAAAACTATGGAAATATGCAGATCTTTGCTGAAATTACAAATTGTTGCTTGTATCTATCTAACTTCATGCAAAATGCTATTTTTTTCTAAGTTGATTGAAAAATATGCACTTGTGTCTTGCATTTCACTTTGAATGAAAGCTCATGCCTCTGACTTTATGCTTTCTGTGTGATACCTGTACACATTTAATAACTCGCTAAATTGGAAGATGTAAAAATGTGAATGATTGTAATTAGGCTTAAGGGGTCAACTCCAAGAGGTGCATAATTCTATATTATAGTTTCTGATATATTGAAACATCAGTTGGCATATGCATTGATGATTATGAACTCTTTCAAGTTACAGTTTTATAAATGATTTTTAGGAAATTTTCATTGGGTTTAATGTCAATACAGAAGCTCCTTGCAATTTTTTCTTTCAACTTTTTTTCACATGCTTTTCAACTTAATCTTTCAAGTGAAGCTAGCATTTTTATATGGAAATTCTTTGTAGAGAGTAATGGCAGGTCCCAGAAATAAAACGAAAACAAAATCACAAAATCCTCCTCCTAGAAAGAAGCCAAAGAAAGTACTTCTAGCAAAAGAACCAGAAAAAGAAGACCTCTTTAGTGATTCTGATGGAATAAATGAAGAAGTAGAAGAACGTGTAGAATCTGATGAAGAAGAACAGAAATTCAATTCGGACTTGGATATGTCATCAGATGGGGATGATCCGTTTGCTGATGATATTCTCAAAGGAAGTGATGATGAAGGTATCCTTTTTCCATTGGAATTTTATTTTGAGGTTTATCTCTTCTTGTTAACTAATCACATTTGCTATTGGATAATTTATATAGAGGAGGGTTCAGATGTAGATTCAGATTCAGATTCTGATTCTAATTCTGATGCATCTGACATTGAGACGAAAGCGAGAGCAATTGATGAGGAAAAGGCAAGGGTAGAAGAAGAAGCTGAAGCTGAATTGCAGCTCAATATTAAAGAAGAGGCTGATGAGTTCCGATTACCGACCAAGGAGGTTTAGTTAATTGATTCTTCTGCTTTGCTTTTATGAGTTGCATCAATATTCTTTGGCGGTAAACTCTTTGCCAAGTTAAATTTGAACTGTTTATACAAATACACAGGAGCTTGAAGAAGAAGCACAAGGACCCCCAGATCTTTCAAATCTCCAAAGAAGGATAAAAGAGAGTAAGTTTGGTTTCTGTTAAATTTCTTAATTATGTTTTCATTCTATATTGAAAATCTTTATTCTGTTGTCATTTCTGTTTTCTTTTACTAAGTAAAGTCCTTTAATTTTGGTTTATCTGTTTCAGTCGCGCGAATCCTTTCAAATTTTAAGTCTTTGAGGCAAGATGGAGCAACACGAAAGGATTATGTTGATCAACTTAAATTAGATTTAAGTTCATACTATGGATACAATGAGTTTCTAATTGAAGCTTTGGTTGAGGTTATTTGTCAATTTGTGAATGGTCAACTTGTTTTGGTTTCATTTTCTCTCTTTTTGGTGCTGAAGTTGCATATCTATATTCAGATGTTTCCAGTTGTTGAACTTATGGAACTTGTTGAAGCTTTTGAGAAGCCTCGTCCAATATGTCTTAGAACAAACACTTTGAAGGTGAATTGGAATTTTTTTTCCCTTTGATGCTTTGGTTTTTCACCCATGCTAATGGTCCTTCATCATTCCCACCATGTTGATAGACCTTCCCTTGATTTGAATTCAGTCTCGCAGGCGGGACTTGGCTGGTGTGCTTTTGAACAGAGGAGTCAACCTCGATCCATTAAGCAAGTGGTCGAAAGTAAGAGTTACAATATATATATATATATATATATTGTATTCTGTATATGGTAGTTTATGGTTTCTTGTGCCTCATTCTGTTCTGTTTTCAAGTGACAGTATTTGTGTTTTTTGTAGGTTGGCTTGGTTGTGTACGATTCACAAGTGCCTATTGGGGCCACTCCAGAGTATATGGCTGGGCATTATATGGTATCTTCTCATCCTAGATTCTATAATCTTAGTTTAAAGTATATAGTCAAAGCTGACAGTCTATTTGTTAACAGCTTCAAAGTGCTTGCTCTTTTTTGCCTGTAATGGCCCTTGCTCCTCAGGAGAAAGAAAGAATTGTAGATGTGGCGTAAGTATTTGTTAGTTATCTCATGTTGCCAGTTTTATCCATCTTTGCTTGGTCTGTTTCTATCTCTCTTAGCCCTTTTAACTTGTGTGGCCACCAATTCTTATATTGGAAGTTGATGATATTCATGATTTTATCTTTTTCTTGAGTCCACCCAATCATATATTCATCGCCCGATCAATTTTTCTTTAACAATCTTATTCAAGCAGTCTCTATTGCTTTTCTTTTTTACATGTTGCTATTTGAACTGCTACTATATTGCTACACATATTTAATTATTTTGAATAGCTCCTTATGCAACTGCAGAATAAAGATAAATTAAATTTTTTTTTGAAGATTCCAACTTGATAGTTATAATCAGTTGAAATTCTCAATCCTTTGTCTTACACTATGTTGCTGATAAGCATTTTCATCTTGAATAAATCTCTGGTAGGTTAAATTTTTTTGCTTTTAAACGTGTTGCAAGAGGTTAATAAAAACATGGTGAAATTATTGTTTGTGCATTAAACATATTTGCATTTCATGTGAAATGGTTGAAATTTTCACCGTGTTGTATAGGTCTGCTCCTGGTGGTAAAACAACTTATATTGCCTCGATAATGAAAAACACTGGTAAGTAGCTAATTTGCAGTTACTCCCACTGCTAGTATTGTATGTCTATAGATGGGAAAATGAGAAAATTTTATTGACTTCTAATTTCTTCTTTGTAACGATTCATCAATGAATATGGCTTTTAAGTAGTTTTTTGGCTTTCTATTTTTCATCTTCCATGGATCCCCTTGTCTGGGGCTACACCTATAATCTATCAGAGTTTCTTCTGGATCTTGTTTTCATTTATTTTTATCTGTTCTTAAAGTTTGACTCTAATAATAATAATTCACACGTGGTAGTAATTGATGTGCAGCTTACAATCTTTTGATGGCTCAGTAGCTGCTGTTAATGATTTTTATTTATTTTTTCCTTCTTAAACTGTGATGTGCCCATTTCTGATGCTGTTAGTTGACTCTTTAACTTAATACCTTTGAGACTTGGGAGTATTTAGTTTTGTGAATCAATTGATATTGTGTAACAACTAACAACTGTGGTGTAACCAAGAATTCACCTGGCAAATCAGCAGGGCGTTTCTTCATTTATATATATATATATATATATATATTTTTTTTTTTTTTACAGCTGTCCTACTTATCACTTTAACTTGTGGAATTTCTATCATAATAAAAAGAATGGAACCTGGGTCTGGGAGTTTTTATTTTTATTTTAACATTTAAACATGTATATGCATAGATTTACTTGTATAACTTTTCAAGTTGGTTATTGGCATGGAATTAATATATTTTTGCACTACATATCTGAACTTATCATGTTTTGTGTATTCTTTTTTATTTTATTTTTTTATTATCATTTTTTTTATGAAGTCTATATTTGCTAAAGCTCAATGATTGCAAACTTTTGTTATAAATTGCATGTCCAGTGTTGTCAAATTGTTTGATACATGAAAACGACACATTAGGCATGCACATTTACTACTGTAAGTTAAACATTTCTTTAATTGTGTTAACATGGCTTCTCCTGGAAAAAGGTATTATTTATGCAAATGAGATGAAGGAGTCAAGGCTCAAATCCCTTACTGCAAATTTACATCGCATGGGGGTAACAAACACCATAGTTTGTAACTATGACGGAAGGGAGGTTAGGAGCTTTCCTCATTATCCCTGAAATTTCTTTAAAAGATTTGTGATTTTTTGTTAGTACTTTTTTAATTTTTGGGACCTCCCAACACACACACACAAAAACAGAAAAAAAAGGAGAAAGTTTCTTTCTTTGCTAGAGGAAGTGTGTTGTGCAACTGTGTTTGACTGGACAGTCAATATCCTTCTACTAAATGCTGGTATAATGCAAATTTTCTTGTTCAAATAATCTTTCCACTATATAGTGTCGAAAACGATACCTAAAGTATTGTTCAAAGGGTTTGAACACCAAAAAGAAACAGAAGAAATTAATACCATTGCGTAGCTTTCCTGTTTCCTCACCTTTCTGAACAGTCTTTCATAATTTCTTTCCTATTATTCTTGCTTCATTTATAATTGTACCATGGATACATTCTGGTTGATCTAACTTCTGAATCTTTATAAATCAACTGTAGCTGCCAAAAGTTTTGGGCAACAACACAGTTGATAGGGTTCTGTTGGATGCTCCTTGCAGTGGCACTGGGGTATGCTATCAAGCTTAATTTTGAATTCTCATGAAAGGTTCTTTGGTTACTCATCGTAGGACAAATTTTGACTTGGCTAATCTCATCTAGGTCATATCTAAGGATGAGTCTGTGAAAACCTCGAAAAGTGCTTTAGATATACAAAATTGTGCCCATCTTCAGAAGGTATGGATTCTTGTCATGTTGTGAATATGTTTTTACTTCCCAAAAATTACATGTTTGCATTAATTTCAGAAGGAAATCGTTTTCTAGTATTCGTGGCCTATGATTAACCAGGAGTCATGGAACCTTGAAGAATAGTTAGGAAATACTAACATAACACCGGCAGTTTCTGATTAAAACAATAAATGTGCTGTGGACCTTCTATCAGAACTAGGGATTAGAAGGTTTACTTGTAGAAAGACACCTCTGATGTTATTTTGTTGTTTGTTGGTTTAACTGTATTTAGTTAATGATTTTCTAACGCACTTGCATTTCTTGCTTCTTCTTAAGTTGCTTCACAATATAGTTTTATCAAAGAAAATCCTTTCAAATCTTGTAGTCTTTAATTCCTTGCTGCGTCCTCTTTCGCTTGTGGAACCTCATCTGTCTTTAAATCTGTCTGCAGCAATTAATACTTGCAGCAATAGACATGGTCGACGCCAATTCAAAATCGGGGGGATACATTGTTTACTCCACATGCTCCATAATGGTTGCTGAGGTTTGTTACATTTTCTTTTCTTAAGTTCTTGAATGTCATCCGTTTCTTCTCTCTGAAGCGTGGCATCTGCAGAACGAGGCTGTTATAGATTATGCACTCAAGAAGAGGGATGTGAAACTTGTGCCTTGTGGACTTGATTTTGGGCGTCCAGGGTATAACCTAGTAATAACTTATTCATCTAATCATCATTGCAATAGCTTTATTTACGGACTGACAACATTTCTTTTGTCTTCTAGATTTATTCGCTTCAGGGAACACCGTTTTCATACTTCATTAGAAAAGACGAGACGTTTCTATCCCCATGTTCACAACATGGATGGATTCTTTGTGGGAAAGGTATGCCTCATGTAGAATGAATTGAATTGATTTGGTTGAGTTATTTGCTTTATTATGAACATAGGGCTGGACGTGTTAATTACTCCACTGATTCAGGCAAGCTGCTTTAGTTACTGTTAAATATCTATACTACATGATACAACAGGCAATAGAGACACTGTTTATAGTACGTATGGGGATCTAAATGTAAATTTATTCAACTTTTGAGTAAAGCTTACACCAGGGTGTGAACATTAGTTTGTTCATATTCCCATCCCATGTAATATTACCTTTTTCGATGCCCGTTCTTTCATTTATTTAATTATTTTGGATGAAGGTTTTGTTGAGTTAGGTTTATGGGATTGAATTATGATCTTGAAAAAAGCGCTTTCCGCAATATTCAGAACATATACATGTTTCCTAGGCAGTTGTTTGCACAGGCACCACTACTGTACAATATCAGATTGCTTTCTTCAAACTATATATTCCATTTTTATTTGCAGTTAAAGAAAATGAGCAATTCAAAGCCATCTCTGAATCCCTCCGAACCTTTGAAAGTGGAGCAAGAACCTGAGTCAATGGAGAGCAATGGCCAGAACAATGATGAAGTAGATATCCACCAACACTTGAAGAAAAAGGAGGGTGTCAAAGAGCATAGTAAGTTGAGCAATGGTTCTTCTAAGGGTGGGAAAGGAGAAAATCCAAAAGTCACGGAAAAGAGGACGAAAAGAAAACTCCCTTCAAGAGAGGAAATTGCAAGAATCAGGTACTTCATCTGTTGAAATACAATGTACATTTAATAAACAATTTTTTTGGTTGTTTTTCTAAGCAATGAGGTTTTGGCACTATTAATAACATTGTCAGATATCAAGGGAAGTTAATATAATGGCAAAGGATCTGTCGATAATATAAGATTAACTGTGCATTTAAATGTAGCCTTTTTCATATCCTTTGTCGTTTTTCTTGAAAAAATATGTTCAGGGAAGAGAAGAGACAAGTTTTAAGGGCAGCGAAGAGAAAAGGTAGGAGGAATGGTGGAACTGAGGACTGACCAATTTGCAGCTTGTAATGTGATATTTGATAAGCTGGAAGGCAAAGTATGTGACAGTATTAAGAAAAATATCTCGTCAATCGTAGTGTCCATCTTGGTACATGCTCAAGTGTCAGCAGTTGGGATGCCTAAAACAGTAATTCATCCATGGGCAAAAGTGCTGAGATGAATTTTTCGTTTTTTACTAATTTATGCTATAAACATCTGAGAGTTAACATTCAGTGGAAAGGAGGAAAAAGAAAAGAAAGGGACGACGCATGCATGTACTTTAGAATATGTTGGCGCAATATGTACTAATTAATACAATCAAATTATTGCCATAGATGGAGCCGTCTCTGAAACTTTGTCAATTTTGGTGCTCAAGGAATCAAAATTTTGTTTCACTGTGCTCGTTCTTGCATGACCTTTTTGTACCATATTCAAGGAATCTCAAAATCTTGGCCTCTATGCATTTGTTTTCAATTTTTCATGTCAGTTAGCCCTATTTTGTTTAGTATTCACATTGATGAACCCACTGGGAATCCCTCCCGCACATGCACAGGTGACCTTTGGTTTGTGAGAAAATTCAATTTAGACCTCTTTTAACACCATTGAAGATTACAGAAAATTCAGTTTGCCCCCATCACATTTTCTGCAATGCAGTTGAGTTCTGGTTCTAGTCTGATCAAGAAGTGTATCTTGGAATTGATTTTGATTGTTCTTATTTCTAGGAGATGATGTTCATTGTAGTTTTCATTCTGTTTCAGTGGCTCATCACTCTTGCATTTATTTTTTAATGCTTCTTTCTCAAGAGGTTAGGCAATTTACTAGTTGCATGTTTTGAGACAAATGATTGGGTGTTTCATTCGAGGTCTAGGAAATACGATCTTGGTTCTTTTTAAGGTAGACTCGTACGTGAAAGGATTGTTTACTAATGCTGGACACGTAATTTTTTATTTTTTTATTTATAATTATATTTTTAAAAAAAAACTCGCTATATAGTATTCAAAACTTCAAATAATACACAGTTAAATCTCAACCCTTAAAATCTTAGTTTCTATATTACAAATTTTTTAATAAATAAGAAGAATTTTTAACCTTTTTTTATTTAAAAATTTATTAATTAATCAAAATTCAAATGTAATATGAGGCAGACTAATTATATTAAAACAAAGGAAAATATTTGTTCTACATTATTATTTACATAATCTTTTAAATATTGATAAGGTGTCAAAAAGAAGATGGAAGGTTTTTTCCTTCTTCTACGTGTACATAAAATACTGTCAAAATTGCAATAAATTACACTTGGCAGCTTTCAATTGGAAAATAGCCAAAAAAAAAAAAGGAGAAGGATCAAATAAATGCTGCCATCTGGCATCAGTTCCTCTGTATAAGGGGAGTTGTGTTTTTTTTTAGTTGATGAAATTTTGATCTAATCAAATTTCAATACATAATTAGTTTGTAAACAAATTTGTAAATTGTGATATATATGTAGTACAATCGTTAAAATAATTTAAAAAATGAAAAAAAAAAGAATAAGAGAAATAAATGATCTGGTAATTGACCAGATGAGATTAGGGACTTTCAATTGAATCAATCATTTTAGTTCGATTTGAGCCTCATTCAATTTCATTTTTCTTCAAATTCATTTTCAATTATACATTATTCTAACAAAATAATTGTATACGTAAATTTAAATTTCTTTTCATACTTGTTAACTATATGTTTAAAAAAAAAACACTAAAAATCTATTTTTTGAAAATAAGCTCAAACAGAAATTTAATAAGCCCTATTTGATAGAGACTAAAATCAATTTTTTAATAAATTTTGATATGCATTTGTTTTCAATTTTTCATGTCAGTTAGCCCTATTTTGTTTAGTATTCACATTGATGAACCCACTGGGAATCCCTCCCGCACATGCACAGGTGACCTTTGGTTTGTGAGAAAATTCAATTTAGACCTCTTTTAACACCATTGAAGATTACAGAAAATTCAGTTTGCCCCCATCACATTTTCTGCAATGCAGTTGAGTTCTGGTTCTAGTCTGATCAAGAAGTGTATCTTGGAATTGATTTTGATTGTTCTTATTTCTAGGAGATGATGTTCATTGTAGTTTTCATTCTGTTTCAGTGGCTCATCACTCTTGCATTTATTTTTTAATGCTTCTTTCTCAAGAGGTTAGGCAATTTACTAGTTGCATGTTTTGAGACAAATGATTGGGTATTTCATTCGAGGTCTAGGAAATACGATCTTGGTTCTTTTTAAGGTAGACTCGTACGTGAAAGGATTGTTTACTAATGCTGGACACGTAATTTTTTATTTTTTTATTTATAATTATATTTTTAAAAAAAAACTCGCTATATAGTATTCAAAACTTCAAATAATACACAGTTAAATCTCAACCCTTAAAATCTTAGTTTCTATATTACAAATTTTTTAATAAATAAGAAGAATTTTTAACCTTTTTTTATTTAAAAATTTATTAATTAATCAAAATTCAAATGTAATATGAGGCAGACTAATTATATTAAAACAAAGGAAAATATTTGTTCTACATTATTATTTACATAATCTTTTAAATATTGATAAGGTGTCAAAAAGAAGATGGAAGGTTTTTTCCTTCTTCTACGTGTACATAAAATACTGTCAAAATTGCAATAAATTACACTTGGCAGCTTTCAATTGGAAAATAGCCAAAAAAAAAAAAGGAGAAGGATCAAATAAATGCTGCCATCTGGCATCAGTTCCTCTGCATAAGGGGAGTTGTGTTTTTTTTTAGTTGATGAAATTTTGATCTAATCAAATTTCAATACATAATTAGTTTGTAAACAAATTTGTAAATTGTGATATATATGTAGTACAATCGTTAAAATAATTTAAAAAATGAAAAAAAAAGAATAAGAGAAATAAATGATCTGGTAATTGACCAGATGAGATTAGGGACTTTCAATTGAATCAATCATTTTAGTTCAATTTGAGCCTCATTCAATTTCATTTTTCTTCAAATTCATTTTCAATTATACATTATTCTAACAAAATAATTTTATACGTAAATTTAAATTTCTTTTCATACTTGTTAACTATATGTTTAAAAAAAAAACACTAAAAATCTATTTTTTGAAAATAAGCTCAAACAGAAATTTAATAAGCCCTATTTGATAGAGACTAAAATCAATTTTTTAATAAATTTTGATAATAATTAATGGAATGTGTGATTGAAAAATTGTGAGTAATATTAAATATGTTATTAAAATTAGTCATTAATTTTGACTGTAATTATAATCGAATTTTTTAACTATATCAAATATGGGCTAAATAATGGTACACATTAAAATTTAATTTTAATCTAAGTGCTTGTTTGATAGGAATTTTGATAATTAATTTTTTGACTATTAGGGATAAAGTGAGTCTTACATGTGAGAGAAAGAATTCAAAAATGACGGTTGGATTAGTGAAATAACTGTCCAATAATTGATTTTAATTAGCTTAAAAGTTGTACCTAACAAATTCTAAGTCAAAGTCAAACAATTAATATCAACCACATCTTTCATGAATTTTGCAACTTTTCAATTACAAAATTTGAAAAATTTCTATCACAATTTATTAAAAAATCTAATTTTAATTTACACCAAACACCGTTTAAATTATTTGACAAAAATATTATTAAAAAGAAATAATATAATCAATAATAAATTTATATAGAAACGGCGGACGCCAAACTCATTACTTAACTTCTTACTATACCCATTTGGATTCCATTCAATAAATGCAGCCCCTAATCACTACACCAGACCATTGCTCACCAATAATGCTATGGAGTACCGGCCATTTTTCTACCTCTGAAAGAGAAGTCAGATCTAAAGTTCTAATGCCCCGAAAATGCTTCGATTTCAACAGGATACACAATTTACCAATTGCGGAGGCAAGATTTTGTTTTGAGACAAAAGTCTGGATGCTCTATTTGGAAACTGTAACAAAAAATGGAAGGTCCAAAAACGAGACAAGTGCAACAATATCTACTCTTGGTATGGGAGGTATAGGAAATTTAATTCTCGTGACGTCCAAGAAATTAGTGAGGTAAATATTATTGATAGTTGTTATTATTATTCCTTTTGCGATTTTAAGTGTTTTTTACCTACTGCAATAAATTTGTGTTGAATATTATAATGGAAAATTTAAAAAGTTTTGGGTGATATAACAGGCGATAGCATGTAAACTAATAAAAGTTTTTGGAGGTGGATGGGAGCTTTTTCACGTTGGAAATGACGATTTCCGGCAAGAAAAACGGTTGGGTGTTGGGCCGAATTGTTAACAGTCTTTGGGTTGATTGTAAAAGTGATTGTTAACAGTCGTCAGTCAGCCCACTGCATGTTAACCGTCGGGAGGAAATGGTGGCCAAATGGCTGTCCCACCCAGTTATTCTTTCATAAGAGCCTTTGACCAAATTTAAAAAAAATAAAAATAAAAAAATGTAAACAAAATCTAAAGAGTCGAAAATACCTTCATTTGAAAAGAAGAGAAGAGGAAAATAAAGAGAAAAAAAGAAAAAAGTAGTTTGGATACACGCCACCTACGGACGATCCGGACTTGACCCACTTCGGCCAAGATCTGACGCACGTCGATCAGTCGGAGATCGCCATTTTTTGGAAAGTTAGATATGTTCTATATAAATAATTACTTTGAATAAGTGAAAAATTGAATATTTAGGATTTAAATATGAATTAAATTCAATTTTTTATGGTTAAAATGGAAGAAAAGATTGAATTTGAGGTTGAAATATTGAAAAAAGTGAAAAGATGAGACGGACCGAGCCCATTTGCTAATTTTTAGAGATTGTATCTTTAATTTATTTAGTTTCCTTTTAGATCAAGTAACTGTAAATATATATACAATATACCACAATGTAAAAGCAAGTTTGTTTGACAGAAATTTCACACAATTCGTTTGGTCTTTTTGTCATAGATGGTCCGTTACAGACCAACGGACCATGGTATGGTCCGCAACAGACCATCATGGTCCGTTATGGACCATTTGGCGAGGTTGTCCGAATTTTTTATTTTTTTATTTTTTGAATTTATTTTAATTTTTATGTTAAAAAATGTAATTAAATATAAAATAATTAATATATATATTAAGATAATTAACGAAATATTTAAAGATAAATTAAATAGAATTTTTAATTTTTTTACGTAAATATATATTTAGTAATTAAATATACGTTTCAAATAAATAATCGAAATAAAGTAATTAAATATGAAATAAATAAGATACATTTTTAAACAATTAAAATAATTAATTATAGAAATAATTAATATAGTTAATTAAAAAAAGACTTAAATGAAAAATCGAATTACATATTATTATTTTTATTCAAATAAATGATCGAAATAGAGTAATTAAATATGAAATAAATAATATATATATATATATATATATATATATATAATTAACGAAATATAATTTTTAAATAAATATTGAATAGTCAAATATGTGGAAATTTTTTTGTTTAACTGTTTTAATATGTGATTAGATGAATTTATTTATTGGTTTATTAATATGAAATTTGATTGGTTAAATTTGAAGGTACGATATTTTATTTAAAATTTCTTTTATATGGTTTTAACATGTATTAATTTTGTAGGATGGAATATCATATCGACAACGATCTGAGGGCTCATTCGGGAAAAGTTACGACGCATTGTA